GGGCCTCACTAGAGAGGCCTCACGTGTTCTCTCTCTGAAACCCTGAGACTAAGGCAGAGCCTGCGTTGCCCAATAAAACCTGACCTCAAGTACCTCTGAATGCAGATAATGGTATGATTGCTGGTGCAGCCAATCCAGCAAGAGACCCACGAGCCAAGATCACCTCTGCCTGGGGTCCTGCCCTACTGCCTGGAAGGTTCTAGAAAGAGTCAGAGCCTTGCTGGGAGAGGGAAACATGCATCTTATTCATTTAAACTTTTCAGAAACAGGGTACCACTCTGTTGCTCAGGCTGAGTGCAGCGGTACAGTCATAGCTCGCTGCAGCCTCGACCTCCTGGGTTCAAGCGATCCTCCCACCTCAGCCTCCTGAGCAGCTGGCACTAGAGGTGCACACCACCACAGCTGACTGACTTTTTTTTCTTTTTGTTTACTTTTTATTTAGTTTTATTTTTTAATTTTTTTTTAAGATGGGGTTTCACCATGTTGGTTAGGCTGGTCTTGAACTCCTGACCTCAGGTGATCTGCCCACCTTGGCCTCCAAAGTGCTCGGATTACAGGCAGGAGCCACCACGCCTGGCCTGATCTTTTTTTCTTAGAAATGGGACCTCATTGGCTGGGCGCGGTGGCTCACGCCTGTAATCCCAGAACTTTGGGAGGCCAAGGCGGGTGGATCACAAGGTTAAGAGATCAACACCATCCTGGTCAACATGGTGAAACCCCGTCTCTACCAAAAATACAAAAAATTAGCTGGGCATGGTGGCGCGTGCCTACCCAGTTACTCAGGAGGCTGAGGCGGGAGAACTGCCTGAACCCAGGAGGCGGAGGTTGCGGTGAGCCGAGATCGCGCCATTGCACTCCAGCCTGGGTAACAAGAGCGAAACTCCATCTCCAAAAAAAAGAAAAAAAAAAGAAAGAAAGAAAGAAAGAAATGGGATCTCACTGTATTGCCCAGGGTGGTCTCAAATTCCCAGCCTCATGCAATCCTCCCACCTCAGCCTCCCAAAGGGCTGGAACTGCAGGTGTGAGCCATTGTACCCGGCCACATGCACCCAGGAAACCAAAGCATCTGCAATCCAGAATGACTGGGGCATGGGAAGCTCTGAGGAAGCAACTCGGCCGGGCACAGTGCCTCACGCCTGTAATCTCAGCACTTTGGGAGGCCGAGGCAGGTGGATCACTGGAGGCCAGGAGTTCAAGACCACCCTGGCCAACATGGCGAAACCCCATCTCTACTAAAAATACAAAAAGTACCCAGGCGTGGTGGCACACCCATGTAATCCCAGCTACTTGGGAGGCTGAGACAGGAGAATCGCTTGAACCCAGAAGGCGGAGGTTCCAGTGAGCCAACTGGGAGACAACACTCCAGCCTGGGTGACAGAGCAGGACTCTGTCTCAAAAAAGAAAAAAAAAAGGCAACTCAAAAACGACCTGCGGTACTGGTTAATTAACACTTATGGGTGCTTGCTATGTGCCAGGTCTATCCAAAATCCTTTAGAAACGTGATCCCTTTCATTTCTCCTATCAGCAGTATGAGAGAAGAGGTGCTTATCAGTCTCATTTTACAGATGAGGAGACTGAGACTCAGAAAATTCAAATAACTTCTAATGCCACCCAGGCAGTCTAGCTTCAGAAACCATGGTTTTCGTCAGTGTTTGCAAACCTTTCTGTTCTCACAGCAAGAAACACATTCTGTGTCAGCTCCCAGTGTACACATACATATCTGCATAGAATTGAAACTGAGTCTGAACCCAATCATGCTCGGCATGGCCAACACACTCACCTGTTTTCTGTCCTATCTCATCTCATTAAACAGCTACATTCCTCAAGCAGTATGTACAGAACACTGAATACGTGTGAGGCACTGTTGCGGCCTTGGGGGCTACGGTGAATGAAAGAGAGAAAAATCCCTGCCTGCCTGGAGCTTGCATTTCACTGGAGGGAAGCAGTGAGTTAAGATCCACGTGCAAAATTGTAGCATCTAAGGTTGTAATTTGGGGAATGCTGCAGAGAAAAACGCAGCAGCAAAGGACAAGGGTGGTGGAGGAAGACCTCCTGGCTGCTTTTGTTGTCGACCACACTCATTTCAGTGAGCGTCCCCTGCAGTGTGAAAACCCTGCCCTCAATCGCTGCACTCTAGTACCTCCCTGTATGCTTGAAGGCTCTTTCTCCCAGATTGTGTGCATGTGCACACATGTATGTGGCAGTGTGCACACACATATATATGTGTGCAGGTGCGCATGTGTGCATGCATGTATGTGGCAGCATGCACATGTATACATAAATATGCAGGTGTGTGTGCATGTATGTGGCAGTGTACACACGTATATATGTGTGAAAGTGCATATGCGTGTGTTCATGTATGTGGCAGCGTGCACATGTATACATAAATATGCAGGTGTGTGCATGCATGTGGCAATGTGCACATGTATATATGTGTGCAGGTGTGCATGTGTGTGTGCATGCATGTGGCAGCGTGCACATGTATACATAAATATGCAGGTGTGTGTGCATGTATGTGGCAGTGTGCACATGTGTGTGTGCATGTGTGTGCATGCATGTATGTGGCAGCGTGCACATGTATAAATGTGTGCAGGTGTGTGCGTGTGCATGCATGTATGTGGCAGTGTGCACATGTATATATGTGTGCAGGTTGTGTGCATGCATGCACGTATGTGGCAGTGTGAACATGTATATGTACATGTGCACATGTATATGTGTGCAGGTGTGTGTGCATGCACATATGCATATGACAGTGTGCACATGTATATGTGTGTGCAGGTGTGTGTGCATGCATGTATGTGGCAGTGTGCACATGTATAAATGTGTGCAGGTGTGTACGCATGCATGCATGTATGTGGCAGTGTGGACATGTATATGTACGTGTGCACATGTATATGTACGTGTGCAGGTGTGTGTGCATGCACGTAGGCATGTGACAGTGTGCACATGTATATGTATGTGTGCAGGCAGGTGAGCATGTATGTGTGTGTGTGTGTGTGTGCATGTAACTATGTGTGAGTCCACCCCCACTCACTTCCTCATTGAAGAGGCTTTGGAGACTGGACGCAGAACCCACACATGTGGCTGTGCAGTTTCTCTACGGGAGCTTGCCCTATAAAGGGGCTGGAACGGGGCCTGAAATACAGCCCAGGCCTCACTGGCCAAAGCCACGAGTGCCAGACATATGCCCTGGCACGAGTCTTTAGTCCAGAGGAATGAGACTTTTATCACTGGTCCACCCGGAGGGGAGCACGCTTTGTAATTCCCAGGGGCAGCGCCGATTCCTAACTGGCATCAAGGCGCCCTATGTGCTCCAGTGTCCTACAGGAGACAAGACGCCTCACAGAATAAACATCACCCCCTGGGCAAACTCTAGTGCGCTGGGCTCACTGGGCAGGGTGACGGATGTGGGTCTGGGGCGATGAGATTGGAGCCAGCTCTGAAGCACCTGGGGCCTCTGGTAGCCTCCATTGAGGGCATTTGGAACTTGGCACTAGAATGAAAACTTTAGGCTCTTCCCTTACGTTAAAGAGACATATAAAAATGTTGCTAGCACAGGGGGCAGGAGGATGACCTATTGGAAATGCAGCCAATCTTTGCTAATGAATTAGCGTAACTAATCAAAACAGATGATTTGATGGGCCTTCCAAATGCGCTTTTAGCAAAGTGGACGGGTTTTCATTCGAATGCAAACTCCGCCAGATAAAATCTAATAATGGAAATTTTGGAACAATCCCAGCTTCAGTGATTTTTTTCTCCTCCTTCACTGAGTAGGAAGACATCTTAAATTCCTGCAGCTTGACCCAACCAGACGCCACCAGTGTCCTGCCTTCTGCGTGGCTGAAGAGACTCTGACTGTTCCCAGATGCAGCAAGGGGCAGTCACGCCACCCCACTTCCCACGCGAGTTTCATCCTCGGCCCCATTCCCACTCCCTGACCTACGAAGAGGCCGCTGGGCGCTCAGTTCCCTGCCATCGCGCATTCACTCAGTCATTATTCCCTGAGCTTTCGCTGTTTCAAGTCCCCGCGGGTGCGACCAGAAGGGGATTCAAAGACGACTGAGACCAGGCCCTGCCCTCAGAAGAGAGCAGACGTGGCAGGAGGCCCCAAGAAGGCCTCAGCTCACCCCAGCCAGCACGTCATCCCCCTGAGCTTCAGTTTCCTCTTTTATCAAATGCGGGCACTAGACATGATCTCCTGGCGCCGGGTGAGCTGGAAACTAGACGGTTCTAAGCCTTCCCCTTCCTCTCACGCTCCCAGGCTCCTAGAAAGTCGACAGATCAGCGGGCAGCCTCCTAAGACAACGCGTCCGCCAAGCGGGGCTGGCGAGGGTCAGGGAGCTTCCCTGAAGCTTCCCACGCACAGAGCAGCCTGGAGAAGATGAGACACAGGTTCAGAAACCCGAGGGGAAGAGTTCGGCTTCCAAAGGCGGGAAACCGGAGCTCAGAAAGAGTCAGGAGTGTCGGAAAGCGGGAAGCCGCTGGCGCGTGTGCGGAGAAGGATCCACAGTCAGGGCGGCTGGGAGGGATCTGGACCGCGAGGCGTGGCGGGCTGCAGGGACGGGGGTGTCCGGACCGGGGGACGGGCTGCAGGGACGGGGGTGTCCGGACCGGTGGGCGGGGTGGGCTGCAGGGACGGGGCGGGTGATGTAGCGCCCAGAACCGAAGGGCCGAGGCCTGGGCAAAGGTTCCTCCCACGGACTGGTCCCACGCCTTATTTCATCGTCGCTGCCGCCGCCGCGAGGCTAATTTCCAGTCACCCGCGCTGAGCATCGCTGCGCACTTTTTTTCTAAGTTCCACAAGTGGCTTTGGGGTAAACAGGCGAATCTCATCGGCCTTCCCTCGGCCTTCCCGCCCGTCCCAGCCCCTACCTTGAGATTAAACAGGACCACGAAGTCTGCCACGGCGGGGAGTCAGCAGCCCGAGGGGTGGGGTGGGGGACGCGGCGGGTCTAGAGAGGGGCGCGCGCGGGATCTAGGGGATCTGGAGGGTCGCCCACCTGCAGAGAAGCCGTCCTCGCGGTCGGAGCTGTGGCGGCTGCCGTCGCTGTCCCTCTCCGGGGAGCTGTGGGCGGGCGAGTCCCGCTCCGGCGCCCGCAGGAACCTGCGGCGTCTCCACGGGGGCAGGTGGTCGCGGGCCCCGCGTCTGGGGGGCTCCTCCTCCTCGGCCTCCAGCTGCTCCAAGTCCGGGCTCCCGCGCAGGGGTCTCAGCGCCCCGGGGGTCGGGGGCGTCCCGCGGTGGGGGCTGCTCTCGCGCCCCGGCCTCTCCTCCCCCTCGTCCCCGCGCATCCGGAACCGGCAAGGGGCCGCCATCCAGGGGCCAAGCGCAAACTCCTCGTTCGGATCCAGCGTCTCAGAGTCGCAGCCGGCGCCCGCCTCGTCCTCCCGGGCGCGGAACCGCAGCGGCGGCTGCAGCAGCTGCTGGTGGACGGCGGCGACCCAGCTCCTCCCCGAGCGGGGAGCTGCGGCCTCGGGTTCCCGGGGGTCTCCAGCCGCCTCGCGCCCCTCCCCGGCCAGCAGCGCGCGCAGGTGCGAGGCCTTGAAGCGCTCCTGGGCCAGCACCTGTTGCAGCCGCGCCAGGTTGAGGCTGCAGCGCTCCAGCTCCCGCTCCACGTCCCGCGCCGTCTCCAGCCGCAGCGCCGGCGCCTCCGTCCCGGGGAACTCGGCCCGCCACAGCCGCTCGAACGCTCGCGGGTCCCACATGCTCCGCCCGCGGCCCCCGGCCCGAGAGACCTGGGAGAAACCGAGTTCCTTCCGCCCTCGCGCCGGTTCCCTTCTTCGTCTGCTGCGGCCGCTTCTGGGTTTCGCCTTCCTGACGTCAGCTGCTCCCCGCGGGGGGGGGCGGGCGCCTGGAGGACCAAGACCCGCCCCGGGCATCTCCCGCCAGCTCCCGCCTCGGGGCCGCGACCGGGAGGGAGAACGGGGTAGGGCGGAGCTGTGGGGCAGCCTCGAGTCACGCCTTCACCCCTCCCCCACGCCTCGCGCTGCCCGCCCCGCCCCATGTCCACCCGGAACCATGTCCACCCCCGACCCATGTCCACCCGGGCCCATGTCCACCCCGACCCATGTCCACCCTGGCCCATGTCCACCCCGGGCCCATGTCCATCCCGACCCATGTCAACCCCAGGCCCATGTCCACCCTCGACAATGTCCACCCCCGACCCAGGTCCATCCCGACCCAGATCCATCCCGACCCATGTCAACCCCGGGCCCATGTCCACCCTGGGCCCATGTCCACCCGACCCATGTCCACCCCGGGCCCATGTCCACCCCGGGCCCATGTCCACCCCGGGCCCATGTCCACCCTCGACCATGTCCACCCCGGGCCCATGTCCATCCCGACCCATGTCCATCCCGACCCATGTCCACCCCGGGCCCATGTCCACCCTCGACCATGTCCACCCCGGGCCCATGTCCACCCCCGACCCATGTCCACCCCCGGCCCATGTCCATCCCGGGCCCGTGTCCACCCAGGACCCCCTGCCCGCCCTGCTGCCCGCCCACCCTGACCCCTGACCACCCCAACCTATGTTCACCCAGGACCTCTGGCTGCCCCGATCCCTGCACCCGAGCACAGCATCGCCTGCTGGGTGGGAAGAAAACGTGGGGACTGAAGGCGACGTGGCTGGTCGGCTGGTCGCCCTTCGCGGGATTGATGATTGATTTTGTCTTTTGAGGCAAGGCCTCAGTCTGTGGTCCAGGCTGGAGCATAGTGGCGGATCATGCCTTGAACTAACTTGACTACTCTCTTGAGCAGTTTAATCCGAATCCGGGGAAAATGCTTTGGGGTTTTGTGTTTTGTTTTTGTTGTTCTCTCCTCTTCTCACTAAAACAGTCAAGAGTGACAGCTCCAAGCAGCTGTGCGGGAGGCGCTGGGGCCTTGAAGCTGAACTCCCGGGTCCAGCAGTGACCGAGTCCCACAGGGCTGCAGGGGCCTCGGCCTGGTAGGGCCCCGAGGAGATGTGTGTCTATGAGGACCCTCTACTCCCCCTCTTTTCAGCCTGCACCTTCCCCTGGGGAGGACCAGAAAGAGGAGCTGCAGAGGGGCCCTGGGGATGGGTGGGGATGCCCATGTGGCCCTCCCTCCGCACCTGGCTGAACAACACTTCCCAGTTCTTTTCCAGGGTTGAGGTGAGGTCCCACTGCCTTCGGAGAGAGGCCTGATAATCATTTCACGCTTTCGGAAAGAGGGGACACCTTATCAATGATTCACATTTCCTTCATTTTAAGGTTGAGGAAATTGATCTAAGAGGCTAAGTGACTTGGCAGCTGGAAGTTCCTCCACCCCACAGCGCCCTTTGGGGACTGGAGCTCAACTCGGCCACCTTCTCCGCAGCCCCTGCCACCCACCCACCTCTCACCTGACCATCAGAGAGGCCGTCCTCCCACTTTCCACCCCCTTCAGTCCATCCCTCAAGGCCACAAGGAAGATGTGCCTTACCCACAAATGTGCCACGTGTCTACTCCAAGCCCTTTTCTGGCTCCCCGTCAGCTACAGGGTGGAGTCCAGACTGCTGGCATGACACAGGAGGTCCTCCCACACTCGGCTCTGCCCCCCTCGCCTTCTTCCTGTAATTCAGCCTTACCAGCTCAAAGCTGGCCCCAAAGACCTCACACTCTTTTTTTCTTCATTGGAACTTCTAATCTCTCCCTACAGACTTGCAAAAGTCCCCTCTGGCTGGGGCTCTCCCCTCTGACGGCCATTTAAGCCCCTCCTCTGCCTTGTTTGTCTTAGCACTGGATCTCGTGATCCTTTATCTTTGCTGGCCCTTGTTCCACTTTTTTGGTTTTTTTTCCTGTAGAGAGGCACCAGCTTCTCCACCTCATCCCTGTCCTGAAACAGCAAGGAGCCATGAACAAGTGAATCGAGTTTCTCCTGGAAATCCACCACCTCGGCATGGCCGGGCATGGTGGCTCACAACTGTCATCCCAGCACTTTGGGAGGACGAGGTGGGTGGATCACCTGAGGTCAGGAGTTCAAGACCAGCCTGGCCAACATGATGAAACCCCATCTCTACTAAAAATACAAAAATTAGCCAGGCGTGGTGGTGGGCACCTGTAATCCCAGCTACTCGTTGGGGAGGCTAATACAGAAGAATCACTGGAACCCAAGAGGCCAAGATTGCAATGAGCTGAGATGGCACCACTGCACTCCAACCTGGGTGACAAAGTGAGATCCTGTCTCAAAAAATACAAAAAACAAATCCACTATCTCAAAGTTGTGGTCACTACTGTTGCCCCCATCATCTCATGTGGTCCAGGCTCATCTTGAACTCCTGGACTCAAATAATCCACTCACCTTTGCCTCCCAAAGTACTGGGATGAGCCACTGGAGCAGGACCCACTGGAGCATGAACCACTGGAGTTCGAGCCACTGGAGCCTGAGCCACTAGAGCAGAAGCCACTGGAGCGTGAGCCACGGGAGCAGGAGCTGCTGGAGGGTGAACCACTGGGGCTGTTCCACCTGCAGGGCAGTGGCACAATCATGCTCACTGCAGCCTCGACCTCCTGGGCTCAAGCCATCCTCCCTCCTCAGCCTGCGGAGTAGCTGGGACCACACAAGCATGTGCCACTATGCCTGACCAATGTTTGTATTTTTCGTAGAGATGAGGGGTCTCACTGTGTTGCCCAGGCTGGCGTGGAACTCCTGGACTCCAGCAATCATCCTGCCCTGGCGTCTCACTGTGCTGGGATTGCAGGCATGAGCCACCACATCAGACCCCACTGCATTAGAATTCCTAGTGAAACTGTGTCTCCCCTACTCTCAGAACCCCTCAAGGGCAGAAACTGTGTCTTTTTTCATTTTTGTGTTCCTGCTCCTTATTGCAGAGTGTGATATGGAGCTGACTGAAAATTGTGGAAGGAAAGAAGTGGATACACGAATGACGAGCAGGCAGATGAATGACCCCCCACCTGCTGGGCTTCTCCTGTCCCAAATCACTGCTGAGGGGCACACGTGCTTCTTACATGTTAACTCCAAGAAAGAATTTCCTTTCTTGCCAAAGTCTGTGTTGACTCATTTTACTTAATATCCCTCTTTGTTTTTTTTTGTTTTTTTTTTTTTTTTTAAATTTGTTGTGTGCTAGCATGAGTCATCAGTGTTTGTCTTCATACCAGGCTGCTACAGAGGAATGGATTTTTTTTTTTGAGACAGAGTCTCACTTTGTCACCCTGGCTGGAGTGCAATGGCACGATCTCAGCTCACTGCAACCTCCACCTGCCAGGTTCTAGTGATTCTCCTGCCTTAGCCTCCCAAGTAGCTGGGACTACAGACATGTGCCACCATGCCCAACTATTTTATTTTCTTTTTTTTTTTTTTTTTAGTAAAGACGGGGTTTCACCTTTTAGCCAGGATGGTCTTGATCTCCTGACCTTGTGATCCATCTGCCTCAGCCTACCAAAGTGCTAGGATTACAGGCATGAACTACCGTACCCAGCCAGATTTTTTTTTTTTTTTTTTTTTTTTTTTTTTTTTTTTTTGAGAGGAGTCTCACTCTGTCTTGCAGGCTGGAGTGCAGTGGCATGACTTGGCTCACTGCATCCTCTGCCTCCCGGGTTCAAGTGAGTGCCTCAGCCTCCTGAGTAGCTGGGATTATAGGCACCCACCACCATGCCCAGCAAATTTTTATAATTTTAGTAGAGACGGGGTTTTGTCACGTTGGCCAGGCTGATCTCGAACTCCTGACCTCTGGTGATCTACCTGCCTTGGCCTTCTAGCGTGCTGGGATTACAGGCGTGAGCCACTGCACTCCGCTGATATGTTTGAAATAACACTAATTTAGTACTCCCCAGTTTGAGCGATTTCTCAGTTCTTCACCCAGTCTCTCAACCTGCTTTCTCCCACCTTATCTCCAAACCCCAGGTGTCACCAAAATCTCCTTTGTCCACTGAGAAGGCTGAGAAGCTCCCACTGCCTGTCACCAGCCAGTGCATGGAGACTCCATCAAACAGAGTCCATAGACATCTTGGCCTCTGTAAAGATTTCAGATTGAGAGAGGAAGTGCCACCCAGAGTGATGGATGACCCCAGGCAATAGGTCATTCCAATATCTATTGGAAGTGGTTTGCATGCTTTTATTTAAAAGCACCTAGAAAAGGAAAACACTAGGTTTCCATAAGCATCAATTTCTGAATATGTAAGTTCCCCGGGAGGACAGTTACAGCTCTGTCCTTTAATTAAAGCTGTGGTATGATTCTCTTCTGGCCCAAGGAAATTGTTACTAACACCACTGATTTTGTCCACAAGGACCGTTATAGCTGGAAACACCAGCATCCATCTTCTGTAAACAGATCCCAGAAGAGGGCTTCAAGGGCTGCAGCTGGCGGATGGTTCAGCTTTGTGGCTTGGCTGGGGGTCATCATGGGGACAGGAGTAGGGTGGCTGACATTTATTGAGTCCACACCTCTAGTGGACATACCTTTATTATCTACCTAATTCCTCACAGCAACCCTGTGAAGAAGTCACACAGTTATCTACTGGATTTTTTTTTAAGAGACAAGGTAGGCCAGGCGCAGTGGCTCACACCTGTCATCCGGGCACTTTGGGGTGCTGAGGTGGGTATGGGTTATCTGAGGTCAGGAGTTCGAGACCAGCCTGCAGCCTGGCCAACATGGTAAAACCCCATCTCTACTAAAAATACAAAAATTAGCCAGGCATGGTGGCAGGTGCCTGTAGTCACAGCTACTCAAGAGGCTGAGGCAGGAGAATTGCTTGAACCCAGAAAGCGGAGGTTGCCGTGAGCAGAGATGGCACTACTGCACTCCAGGCTGGGTGACAGACCGAGCCTCCATCTCAAAAAATCAAATAAGAAGAGAGA